ACAATGGAGAAAAAAGATTCATGTAGCCGACCCCACGTAGTGGGATAAAGGCTTGATGTTGTTGTTGTTGTTATAAAGGCCAAAGGTATTGGAAAGAAAGTGAGCCAAACACAGGAGGGTACATAGGAGTGTGGTGTTGCTATGATATTTAGAAATCATATAAGAAGATTTGCATATCAAGTTAGCATAAGAGCACAGGGGAATGAAGATGCAGAACAGTACATGTTATCAACAATGATCGAGATGGCTGAAAATGTAGACTTCATCCCTACAGGAATGAAAAACTGTCATCCTTTTAAGAGAGCAGGTGGGGGATATACGAAGGTTAATAATCCTCAGAAGTGCAGGCCTAAAGGCATTTCTAATGTAAGATTGAAGAGCCACTAGGAGATGAGAAAGAAGAGGATAAAGAAATCTTCAACAGAGCAAGGCCTAGAATCCACAACATATTGTACAGTCACAAAAGCACCTTTAATATAGCAGCCAACTTTCACTCAAATACCAGAATGCTTGACAGATGAGTTCTTTACTGGACGACCAAGCACAGAATCGTCGGCTGAATATACACAGATGAAGAAGGGAATTATTGATGCAGAGAAGAATATCTGATATGTGGTTTTTATTTGTTATATTTCATTGAACAATGTATTTCATTTTATTGATGAAGATGTGTGGGAACAAAATGTATTAATGATTTTATTAGATTTTATTTATGCAGAGAAGAATGTCTGATATGTGGTTTTTATTTGTAATATGTCATTGAGCAATGTATTTGATTTTATTGATGTTTTTTAGGAATTGAATATTAGAATACTCACTTGGTAGTCAGTACTATCGATACACTTTGTACTCGAAACAATCGGTACACTAGGTACTCAGTACTGTCGGTTCACTGAGTACTCGGTTATGTAGGTACATTGAGTACTCGGTACTGTCGGTACACTAGATACTTGGTACACTGTCGGATGCAGTTAAAGCTCTTAATTATTGATAGATGGGGTAGGTAAGGTATTCATAGTAAGAAAGATTAGAAGGTATTTTAAATAGAAGATCTTCTCAGACGACTTCAACCAAAATTTTGGTGTTATTTCTTCATAATCTGCTATGGTGTACAAATTACATTGGCCGGAAACTAATCTACATTTAGGTATGCCAATTGAAGCATTTTTGAACCTTGCAACAACTGCAATGCATGAGAAGATATTAGAATCTCTATATGGCTTCTTGAATAACAAGCAAGGGAAAATAAAGTCTACAGATGTTGTGTGCATTACTGGCACGACCATTGTGATACTACGCTCCTCATTTCGCATCAAGATGCAATGGGTGTTAAATTGAATAGAGAAGGTAAATTCCTAAATTCCAAAGGTCGGAGATGGGTTGAGAAAAAGTTTATTGAGTATCATCACCACATGGTTAGCCTTCACTTTCTTCAAAAGAGATATCATGAGCTGCAACGTGAGAGATTAGGATTACCTGTTGGAAATAACTCATTACCAGCTTAGGATTTAGAAAATTGCATTCTTTATCATCCTTGGGATCCAGAGTAGGATGGCTTCGTTGTTGACTTATATAAGGATCTTTTGAAATGGAGGCCTTATGGTAAAAGGAAGTTCTTAAACCTAGCGGGGTGGCAAGAAATTCAGTATGAGTTGATTACATGTTTTGGTTGTTGTCCCTTACTAAGTCAGCTTCAGAAACGAATTCGTCACTTACTACAGTAGTTTTTACTAAAATGGATATCAGGTATGTAGAAGAAAGTAATTAACTAGTGTATTAATTTTGTGATGTACAAGTATACAACTTAACGATGTACAAGTATATGATTTTTCTATGTACAAGTTTGTAACTTTGCAATGTACAAGTAATTAAACTATTTACAAATGATGGACAATTATTTTATAGTAGTACAAAACAATGTGAAAGCAAATTCAGCTCTGAATTTTGGCATGTTCTCCTGCCAGTTTTGTTGGTCCTTCCATATCACTCCTGCAGGCTGCACAACTACATCCATATATTTACACACGTACATTCTGCAGTCGAAACTATTTTTCTGGGTAGGAGCATCTTCAACAGGCCTGATCAGCCATTGTGTAATATCATTATCAGCAAAGACATTTTTAGTTTCATCGTATAAATGTTTAAGCTGCGTATAATTTAAAACACACAAGTTGAGGAACATTCGTTATGAGTCAATTTTGACCATAATCATTGAATATTACTTACAACTTTAGGTATTTATGGCAGTATGAGTGGCTTTAGGTAATTAATCGTAGAAGTCCCAAACTTTTTTAAACAATTTTCCTACAAGTAGTGTCCCATGGCTGCCTTGTATAATAGGTACAAGCATCAAATGAGCACGTCTGATAGCATTTTTAGTGATGTGCTTTACGAAATGTTTTGTTTTATATTTATACACATCATAATAACCCTGCAGAAAACAGTTAAATCCGTTATTGTTGTTGGCTGACCCACATCGATATAGACATCGACTTTCGCTGCCTCTGCCTGAGCCTCTTCTTTTTGTATAGCCACTGCTGAAAGATGTTTAATATCTTTAGGTTTAACATTTTCAGGTTTAGCATCTAGAGGTTTAACATCTTCAAGTTTAATGTCCTCTGGTTTAATATATTCTGGTTCAACATCTTCTGGTTGAACATCTTCTGGTTGAACACCTTCTAGCTGAACATCTTCTTGTTTAATATCTTCTGGTTTCATATCTTCAGGCTCCATAAGGATAGGTACCATTTACTTTCAATGTAGCTGGGAAGTTGGACTCAAGGAATTTTTGAATTGTTTCAACTTTTCTCTCTAAATCCTTAAATTCAAATACTACCTGCTCTAATGATTCAACTTGCCGCTCGAGCAAGATAGATGTTGTTTCAACTTTGGCAAGCCTGGTAATGAGGATTTTATTCTATAATATCAGCTTAGCCATGCTCTGTCGGTATTCATCATCTAGCGGTTTGGATAGGTTGATTTTTGGTTAGATGTCCTCTTAGGGTGGTGGGGAACTTCTTTGGGGGCTGGCTACCCTTTTGGGTGGAGTGGCAGCCCTTGGGTAGCTTTTGGGCTGTTGGATTTTAATTCGAACTTTGGGGGAAGGTTTTATTGAGGTAGGGGGATCCTTACGTAAAAAGGATTTGTCCTCCTCAATTATTTGTTAAAATTGTTTTAATATCTGCAAAACACAATTTTTAAAAGGCGATCATATATACATTACTGCCACAATTCTAATGCACATACTTGTCCATCATCACGTGATTCAAATAAATCATCTACTTCTTTCTCATTGTACATTAGTTGGCTATCCCACCGAGCAAAATGGGGCCGTGACTGCTCATCTGTTGGTTTTTGTATTTTGGTATGTTCGAGAAACCATATATGAACCCATAACAAACATTCCGATAGCCAATTAATCATATTTATAGAATGGCTAATTAAAATATTATGCATAAGATTTATACTCACAATAAGAATTGTTATAAAGCCATTAATATAGCCTAGGGAAATGCCATTCATATGCTTCATGGCAATCGAATCAAATTCTTCGACAAGGAAGTTTCTTATGATTAAAGGCCAGTTGTAAGTTAAGAAATCATCAGCGTTGTCTACAACTGTCATGATACTTGAAGGTGCCCTGAAGTTCGCAAGGGGGGGAAAATAGATTGGACAATAAGAATTTAATGAAATGCTGCAAAAGTTCATGTACTTGGGTGGACTCCTTCAAACTCTTAATTTCATGTCTAACATCGTTGGAAGTTACCCCAGTTATCCTTCCACTCCAAACCACAAATTTGTTACCCCTATTGGGTAGTCCAATGATGAGAGCTACCTCATCAGAAGTGAAAGGCAACTTCTTTCCTTTGATTACGAAGCACTTCTTCTTGAAATTCTATTTGGTCAACAACATATGAACTAGAGGAATGTTCTGATGGAAAGCAGGCAACAAGAGGAAGTGATGAAGGTGCAGTGGCTTCAAAACATCAACAAATTCTTGGCCAAATGTATTTCTCAAATGATCACAAACTTGTCTAAACGTAGAAGCTCTGCACCTAAAATGAATCTCTGGATAATATCCCAGCAATTTTTAGAACAATAGACAAGTTATATAAACTGATCAAAACACTAGACTATGCAGAGTATCGAGCAATGTACCGAGTATAATACGAAGCACCCGCGGTACAGAGAAGAGTACCGAGTATGCTACGATACCGATCAGTGTACCGAGCAGTTGAGTTTGAAAGCGCTCGGTACCATGCACAGTAGAACACTAGATAAAATACAAAACCCTCAAGCTCAAGAAGAAAATGAGAAAAAAAATAAAATACAAAACCCTAAAGCTCAATAGTACGCTCGGTACAAAACCCTAAATCATCTCGGTACAATATAACGCAAACAGAACATCATAATCTCGGTACTAAAATACCGAGTCAATACCAACCGCAGAAAATGAAACCTTACACAGACCATTTCCCTTCCATGCATGGAACAATAATATAAAACCCTAATCCACTAACAAAACCATAAAAATAAAAATTTATTTGTATGACAAACCCCTAAAATACGTACCTACTATAGTACCGGCATGGTACCGAGTTACAAAAATTTACAGAAAAATTTACAACTGAAGAAGCAAGCAAATACGGACCTTCGGCATGGCTTCATCAACGAATGTGATTGCGATGAACGGGATTTACAAACGAAGATGAGCAGTCGAGAGGGGAAGCAAAGTCAACCCAAAGGGGCGCGAGTTTTAATTTGTAATGTTTAAGAAAAAATGTAATAAAAGAACTACTTTTTACCTTCGGACAGGTCGGGTTATGGGGCCGCGCGGTAAATAGAAAAGCACCTGCAAAAAAAAAAACAAAAAACAAGCGGGCACGTCGGGTCATTGGGTCGCAACGTGGCATCATCCAATTGGATTCTGGATATATAGATGTGTTAGGTGACCTGACCCAATAATTTTCCATATCTAAATTTGTATGTAATTTTTTTTTTCAATTTCTTTCGGTATTTCCAAAAAAAAAATTCAGTATCCTTCTCCGACAGCTCAATTTACTACTTCAGTCCTCCGCAGCTAAAACCCTACTTTCTGCTCCCAAGGAGTAAGAGGCAGTGCCAGCCAAACGTAAAGATCGAATCTTTTTTTATTCCTTTCACGGTATGGCTCTCTGCAACCCTAAGCTGTCGATCAACTCGATACCCTCTTCTTCCTCATCCCCCACCTCGACCTCCTTTCCGCCGCCGCGCCACATCTCATCACTCTTCCTCTTCCGCCGCCGCCGCCGCCGCCCCTGTCCTGCTTCACTTTCAGCGTCCGAAAAACCTGGCCTTCTCCGCCTCCTTGCACGCGCCCATGACAAGGATTCCGATCCCGTATCGTGGATTCCTCGCCGTCCTGGCACCGCCGGCAAGCGCACCGACATCCAGAAGATCATGATCCTTGGTGCCGGCCCCATTGTCATCGGCCAGGCTTGCGAGTTCGACTATTCCGGCACCCAAGCTTGCAAGGCTCTCCGCGACGAGGGCTATGAAGTCGTGCTCATCAATTCCAATCCGGCCACCATCATGACGGACCCTGGCCTCGCTAACCGTACCTATGTAGGCCCCATGACCCCTGAGCTCGTCGAGCAGATCATCGCTGAGGAGCGACCTCAGGCACTTCTCCCCACAATGGGCGGCCAGACGGCTCTCAACCTCGCCGTTGCCCTTCATGAATCCGGCGCTCTTGCCCGCTATGGTGTCGAGCTCATCGGCGCCAAGCTTGACGCTATCCGGTGCGCAGAGGATCGCGATCTCTTCAAGAAGGCCATGGCATCCATCGGTCTAAAAACCCCGCCTTCAGGCATCGCTAATACCATTGAGGAGTGTGCTTCTGTTGCTGATGAAATTGGCGGGTTCCCTCTCATCATCCGCCCTGCGTTTACCTTGGGAGGCACTGGCGGCGGCATTGCTTACAACCGTGATGAATTCGAATCCATATGCCGTGCGGGACTTGCCGCCAGTCTCACCACTCAGGTGCTTATCGAAAAATCCCTTCTTGGGTGGAAGGAATACGAGCTCGAGGTCATGCGCGACCTTGCTGACAACGTTGTCATTATCTGCTCAATTGAAAACATCGATCCGATGGGAGTTCACACTGGCGATTCCATTACCGTTGCACCTGCGCAGACGCTAACTGATAAGGAGTACCAAAGGTTGAGGGATTACTCGGTGGCTATAATTCGAAAGATTGGAGTAGAGTGCGGGGGCTCCAACGTGCAGTTTGCAGTGAATCCAGTTGATGGGGAGGTGATGGTGATTGAGATGAACCCTAGGGTGTCAAGATCATCAGCTCTTGCATCTAAGGCTACTGGATTTCCAATTGCAAAGATGGCTGCAAAGCTTTCAGTCGGATATACTCTTGATCAGATACCCAATGATATCACAAAGAAGACGCCCGCCAGCTTTGAGCCATCAATTGATTACGTGGTGACAAAGGTGAGTTCTTTTGCCAATTTTTTTTTTTAAATTTTGTTCCCTTGTTTTATTTTATCTGTTTATGCTTCTGAGTATTGGTATATTCTTTCGGCTTTTTTTGGGCATGAATTGGTATATTCTTTTTTCCATGGCATATATAGGTTTTTTTTTTTTTTTCATCTTCATGATTTGAAATGTATCTTGTATTGAGCTGTGCGGAAGCCTAGCCCAGTAATTCTGATGCTCTTGAACATAAATCTTAATTTTCCTTTTGATTTGGTTTTGCATTTTTTTTCTTTTTATTACGAATAGGATGGTCTAGATACTCATGTGACTATTGCTCTTTTCTGTTTATTTTTAGGAGCTATTTGGTCGAAAGTATTAATAATATATTGCATTTCATTTCCATTTAGTTAAACTTTTTCGATATATTGATTTGAAGCGAAATGGATACACAGTATTTTTTGTTGGAATTTGAAATTCTCCAAAACTCCTGTTTCCTTGCATTTGGGAAATTTTCCTATCTGGCGCTGTGTTATCTCTTCCCTTGCATTGCCTGCTCGTCTCGCCCCCTTGCATTTCTGCCTCACCCTTGTGTTCCCGCCTAGCTTCTCACATGATTCCTCACCTCTTGTATCGCCATCTCCCTATCATACTGGATTTTCAATGCATTTGATTTGTATCCAATCAAAAGTTTATCACATTTTTAAAATACATGTATTTAAAAATATCCAACTAAATTGGCGATAAATTACAGTTCTAGTATGGCGAAAGGTTTCACTTGTGGACTTGGAACTTTTACCGAGTTGCCTTTCTGTGGTGTATGATCTAGTTTTTGTTATAAAAGAACTGACTGCATATTTTTCCATTGTTTAACAAGCTGTTCAATGATTCTGAAGTAATGGATAGCTTCCTAAAAGATCAGAGCTATCTCTTTTAACTCACATGACTTGTCATGGTTTTGTTTTTTTATTTTTAGACGGTCATTGCATAGTGTAAAGGTTATTTCCAGTACTATAACTTATCTTTTTTATGATTGAAATCATATACTTTCATGGAAAATTGCTATGCTTCCCTGCAAAATATTTCCTTGTCGAATTTCCATTAACCATAATTTATCATCATTTTTTTGTTTGCACAAATGTTGCAGATTCCACGATTCGCCTTTGAGAAATTCCCTGGTTCTCAGCCAATATTGACCACCCAAATGAAATCTGTTGGTGAGGCAATGGCATTGGGAAGGACATTCCAAGAATCCTTCCAAAAGGCTGTTCGATCTTTGGAATGTGGTTATGCTGGCTGGGGTTGTGCGCATATCAAGGAACTTGATTGGGACCGGGAGCAATTGAAGTACAGCCTGCGAGTTCCTAACCCTGATCGCATTCATGCGATCTATGCAGCCATGAAGAAAGGAATGAAAGTGGATGAAATACATGATCTCAGCTTTATTGACAAGTGGTTCCTGTCCCAGCTCAAAGAATTAGTACAAGTGGAAAATTTTCTTCAGACTATAAGTTTAGATCAGCTGACAAAGGATGATCTGTATGAAGTGAAGAGAAGGGGGTTCAGTGACAAACAAATTGCATATGCTACGAATACAACTGAGAAAGAGGTTCGAACAAAACGCATCTCTTCCGGTGTGATCCCAGCATATAAGAGGGTTGATACTTGTGCTGCTGAGTTTGAGGCAAATACGCCTTACATGTACTCTTCATATGATTTTGAGTGTGAATCTGCTCCTACTAAAATGAAGAAGGTTTTGATCTTGGGTGGAGGACCAAACCGGATTGGACAGGGAATAGAATTTGATTACTGCTGCTGTCATGCATCATTTGCTCTTCGTCAGGTTTTGATTCCTTTGAATGCTTATCGATTTTCATGTTTTTTTACCATGGTTCATGCTTCTGTTGTTCAATGAACATAAATTTGAGGCCTTTACTTGTTTAACTCATGAATTTTCATGTTTTTTTACCATGATTCATGCTTCTGTTGTTCATTGCACATAAATTTGAGGCCTTTACTTGTTTAACTCATGGATTTTCATGAACTGTTGTGATCTCCTCCTGTGTCTAAAGAGTGTTTTTTTTTCAATATTTTACCCATGCTTTTTTGAAATTTTTAGCAGACCTATTCTTTAATACTTTTTCTATGATCTTGAATTTCCAAGTTCACCAAATTCTTTTTGTTTCCCTATCCCATGCGTCCTGATTATGGCAGTAAACTATTGATACATGAAATAAATATTTTCAGCTAGTCATTATGTGTTCATGAATATTATTATTATGATTTTGTTTCAGGATGGATATGAAACAATCATGATGAACTCGAATCCGGAGACCGTGTCCACAGATTATGACACAAGTGATCGCTTGTATTTTGAACCTCTGACAATTGAAGATGTGGTAAATGTTCTCGAGATAGAGCGGCCTGATGGAATAATTGTGCAGTTTGGGGGTCAGACACCTCTGAAGCTTGCAGTCCCCATACAGCAGTATCTGGAAGAGAAGAAATTGATGTCTGCTAATGGAACTGGTCGAGTAAGAGTGTGGGGAACTTCACCTGATTCGATTGATGCAGCTGAGGATAGAGAGAGATTTAACGCAATTCTGAATGAGCTTCAAATAGAGCAACCAAAAGGTGGGATAGCAAAGAACGAGGCCGATGCCTTGTCAATTGCCTCCAATATAGGGTACCCTGTTGTAGTCCGACCATCTTATGTATTAGGTGGAAGGGCTATGGAAATTGTTTATACTGATGAGAAGCTGCTCAAGTATCTTGAGACTGCAGTTGAAGTTGATCCCGAGCGCCCTGTACTGATAGATAAGTATCTTTCAGATGCTACAGAGATTGACGTGGATGCAATGGCAGATTCTGAGGGTAATGTAGTAATTGGTGGTATCATGGAGCACATAGAACAAGCTGGAATTCATTCTGGTGACTCAGCTTGTTCTCTTCCAACAAAAACTGTATCGAATAAGTGCTTGGACATAATCCGTTCATGGACCACAAAACTTGCAAAAAGACTTGGTGTATGCGGCCTTATGAACTGCCAGTATGCCATTACTGCATCTGGTGATGTCTATCTCCTCGAGGCAAACCCTCGTGCTTCCCGCACAGTTCCTTTTGTTTCTAAAGCTATTGGTCATCCTCTAGCAAAATATGCCTCTCTTGTTATGTCTGGAAAGACAATATATGATATTGGATTCACAAGTGAGGTGATCCCAAAGCATGTTTCAATCAAGGAAGCTGTTCTTCCTTTTGAAAAATTCCAAGGCTGTGATGTGCTTCTTGGACCAGAGATGCGCAGCACAGGAGAAGTCATGGGAGTTGACTTCGACTTCCATGTAGCATTTGCAAAGGCACAAATTGCAGCTGGTCAGAAGCTTCCTGTGGATGATGATGGCCTTCTTGGCAGTAAAAAGACAGTTTTCCTCAGCTTAAATGATCTAACAAAGCCCCACCTTGCATCAATAGCTGATGGATTTCTTCAACTGGGCTTTCGACTTGTTGCGACTTCTGGGACGGCTCGGGTGCTCGAGATGGAGAACTTACCAGTCGAACGAGTTCTAAAGATGCACGAGGGTAGACCCCATGCTGGTGACATGTTGTCAAATGGTGAGATACACATAATGGTAATAACTAGTTCTGGTGATGCTTTGGATTCAATAGATGGGAGACAACTGAGAAGAATGGCATTGGCTTGTAAGATCCCACTAATAACTACTGTTGCTGGGGCGCTGGCTACTGTGAAGGCATTGAGGAGCTTGAAGCACAGCTCTATTAAGATGTTGGCTTTGCAAGACTATTTTCACCCTGTGGATGAAGAGCTTGATTTGCGAGCTGCATCCTCTACTGTTTAGCAGTTAATTTCTGATGGAAAATCACCCCAAATTTGAGTCATCATTGGCTTAAAACTTCTTAGAAATGTATCATTTTATTTTCTCTCATGCTGTTGTATTCATTTGTTTTGCTAATAAACTATTTGCCTGTTTATCGTCTCCTTGCATTGCCTTGGTATACTGGCTGTAGCCTGTGCTGGATTGTTATCTTTGCAGAGTTTTCAACCTGGACTATTTACAAAATTGTTAACTACTTTCTGTTCAAAAATCCTTGCAATAATTTATTTGCTAGAAGAATAATATGTTTTAATTTATTTCATATTTATTTAATTTGTACAATAACTACTAATGCTTTTATTTTTTGAAGACAAACGTTCATGCTTGCACACGGATACATCATTTTTGATTGGGTTTTCATAACACTTCCAACTTGGGCTTCATTTGGGACAGTTTTCTTATTGCTTTCTAATCCAGCTTATTAGTAGAAAATTTTTTAATTCCAACAATTTCTTTTAATTCCACAATTTTTATATTAAAAATTTCATTAGAAAATAATAAAAGAGCTATTCCAAATCAAATTTTAATGAGATCATTGCACAAAGTACTCACATCATTGAATAGTGTCAACTTTATTGTTGTTAGATGGAGGATGGTTAGTGTTGCTTAGGAGTTAAGAAGAGGTCTTTCAAAGGAGAAATTATTCATTGCGGACAATGTATTGTTCGGAGGTCAATCAGTGTGCCCAACATTACCCGGTACATAATGGGTACACAACTGCGGTACACAGCAAATGGGTGATGTGGCGTGCTCTGATTTGCCTCCAGACGATGTCTGATGTCTCTACAGAATAATTTTTCCTTTCAAAGACAATATAGATGGATGACGCTCGGACAATCATGAGGACGATTGGCCTGGTGTTCGGGTATTGACATAATGTTGTTCTCTTATATTACTTTGATTGTGGGCATTCAAGGAGGTATCTCCCAGGAATATGATTAAGAATTTTTTAACTACTGAATTTCTTTGAGCTAAGTTCCATCCTTTCAACCAGCTGAAGGATGTATGCTAAACTTTCATTTTCGATCAAAATATGAAATATTTCAGAACGATTTATTATTGTAGAGATGACGATGCCATAATTCTAGATATTCATGTATGATGGAAAATCCTTATCAAAGAAGAAGTAGAGGGGTGGGTTAGAAGGTTTGTGGGCTTTGGAAAAAGCTTGGATTAGATCATGGTTAAAATTGATTAATTATGTCTTAAAGAGTTAACTTTTAATAACAATTTTGATTAAATGCATGGCTAATATGTTGTATATCAAAGAACATGAGAAAGAATAATATGTGAAGACAAAAAAAAGAAGACAAATTAGGAACATTTGGCCGCAACAAAACTCACGATACTTAAAAAAAATTATCCTATGTTGAGCTCATTATCATTTGGTTAGAAATGATTATTTTAAATTATATCCAATTTTAAGAATATGATACTTATGATTTCATATAAAAAATGTTTCTATTAATTGAGGAGGTGAACCTCAAACTTAGTGTTAAGTGGAGACTTATGCTTCGTTTGGGGCGACTTTCTTACTACTTAAAACAACTTTCTAGTATCAAAATTATAATTTTTATACTAAAAAGTTGTTTTAAGAAGCAATAAGAAAGTCGTCCCAAACGAGGCCTTAATGCATAAATAAGATACAACCCTTTATCTAAATCTAGTGCAGTGTAGGTGAACGCAATGAGACTTGTACATCTTAATTTCAATGGGACTATGAATGCCCAACCCATTTGATCTTAGAATCGCACTTGAAAGGGAATTATAACTAGATCCATCCATTCATTTTAAGAATCTTTCCATTTTTCATATGCAATGCATAATAAATTGATTTGTTCAAATTTTGGCAGTGGAACATACAATATTGCCACTTAAAAAGAAGGATACCTTACTCATATGAAAGTTAATGTAGAAGATTTTGTTTGATTATCTGACCCAATGTGAGAGAGCTTTAACTACATATATGCTATGCCTCAACCTCACACTTTGCTCTAGACTCTTAACTTTTTGTTAGTTTAATTTAATTTTATGGCCTATAGTTGAGCTTGATTGATATGGGTCAACCCCTATACTTCACTCTCTAAGCACTCTAGCTAGTGTACCATTTTTGGTAGATTAGCTAGTAGAAGACTACACTTCTTCCTTTAAGGATAGTTCATTATAACTTTCCTAAGTCTGAGTGAATGTCACAATACCTGCTAAAATAATTCTAGAGATTATTTTGGCGTTCCCTATTTACATCACTAGTTTGCATTTTTCATTTTAACTTAAGCTCATTTGGAACAGTTTTTTTTATTATTTTACTATTCAAATCACAATCATAATTTATATTTGGCAATTACTTTTTCACTACTTTTATTTTTTTCAAAGAAGCTGGTTTCTGCATCAATTTTAAAAAGATATTTTCTCTATAGTAATTTTACAAAATAGAAAGCTGTCCCAAACGATGCCTTAAGTCCTAACTTAGCTTCTTCTTAATGATTTTGCACCTGTTGCAATCTAAGATCCAAAGCTTATGATTTTGATGATAATAAACACTATTTATTGAGATTTTATTTCTTCTAGTATATATATTAGATATTGTATTTGTCTATGTGCACTAACATCTCAGGTACATTGTACACCACTCAAGATTGATCAAGACTTATATTTAGGTAAAATAAGATGTCATTCAAAAGAGTGTAATTTTTGCCTTCTTTTATTTTTTATTTATATAGTCTAGCCACATAAGGGTGTATGCAAAATTGGCAACCGTGCACATATACAGGAGTGAGGAAATTTTGAGATAAAAAATTTTGAACTAATTATACCGTATGATTGCGATCGTACTGCATGATCAGTTATACGAAAAAGAGGGTTATAATCATTTATACATAAAAAGGGTTAATGGTTAATTAAATAATTAATACTAATGAATGAATCACACTGTATGATTTAGATCAAACTGTATGATTTGTTTTGATATGTAAACCCTAGCCGCAAGATAAATTAAGAAATTTTAAAATTGAATTTTAATCTAATCATACTATGTGAACCTAATCGTACTATATGATATTTGAAATCTTACTTAAATTATTCTATATGATAGTCAATTAATTCAAGGTTCAATAAATATAACTAATCATATTGTATGATCAAAATCGCACCGTACGATTGACATAGATAAAATCTGATCATCCTCGTAGTAGTATTAGACGAAAACTTTAAATTTTAAACTAATTGTATAGTATGATATATATATATATATATATATATATATATATATATATATCGTACTGTATGAACTGTTTATATTGCATTAAGCTTATTGTATGATGTGAATCATTCCAAACGATCCATAACGATGATTTCCAATCATCCCCATAATAATCATGTATGAACAGAGTTGAATTAAACAGTCATACTGTATGATATGTTTGCTGAATTTGAGCAGTTCGTCTAAATGATTATTTCATCGTACTTGATGAGTCCTATTTTTGAATTGATTATACTGTATGAACCCACATCTTACAGCAATATGATTAAAGAATTTTTGAACTACTAAAATTCTTTGAGCTAAGTTCCATGCTTTCAACCAGCTGAAGGATGTATGCTGAACTTTCATTTTTGACCAAAATATGAAATATTCAGAATGATTTATTATTGTAGAGACAACGATGACATAATTCTAGATATTCATGTATGATAGAAAATCCTTATCAAAGAAGAAGTAGAGAGGTGAGTTAGATGGTATGTGGGCTTTGAAAAAGCTTGGATTAGATCATGGTTAATATTGATTAATTACATCTTAGAGAGTTAACTTTTAATAACAATTTTGATTAAATGCATGGCTAGTAACAGAGCACGTGACCACAACATCTAACAAAGCAACAAACAACTGCTTTCTTGCATAAATAATAGTCCTTTGTACATAATAAATCATCTCATCTCACACCAAAATTTGTAAAGCTGTTGTAGCTCTAATTCTATATAAGCCAATGTATAGCCACAATGGAATATGAGAGAATGACGTTTCACCTAATGCCTTGTTTACCATGCTGCTGTAATTCCATTTCTTAGCTCTGCTTTAGCTTGCGTATACTATATGTCTTAAAGCTTCTACATGTATCAGAGCAGGTGTGATCTGGTAGCACCTCCATGACACAATCAGCCACTTCACAGATTGGTGAACCTTCCATTACTGCTCACATAGAAAATCTCAGTATTCCCTCCTCAAATTTATCCTATCCAATATCAAGAAAATCGTTCCCTCCAAATTATCCACTGATAACTACTCCATTTGGCGATCACAAACCAGTAAACTACTTCAAGCAAATGGATTTGCAAGCTTTCTAGAAATGATAACAACCCCACCTCCTTGCCCTTCTGAACAACCATATGGCACAAACATTCCAAACCACTCCTACACTTAATGGATGATTACCGATCAAAACTTAGCTGCTGCATTGTGCTCCACCATTAGCGCATCTATCCTCCCCAATATTCATCATCTTGAATCTACCTCCGCAATATGGTCTACCCTTGAGCTCCGATTTTAGTCGTCCAATAGGTCTATGGTCATTCAGCTCAAGAATGAGCTTCACAATATCTCCATGAAAAATCTCACAATGGCCCAACAACTAAAATCAAAGCATTGGTAGGAATATAGCAGCTATCAGATCTACTATTGACATGGAGGATATTATCCTCTATACCCTCAATGGAAGCATATTTTTTTGCAGTACAGAAACAGTGCACATGAACACTTGTTCAACCACCTCTGAATTCTTCAGTTCTTTGATGTCACTGGACATTTCATACTAAACACCACTCGGGTCAATCGCCTGCTTCTAGGTCCAGCTCATTACACAAGGCAATCATCAGGAACAAGGAATAGACTACTTCGAAACATTCAGCCCCGTCGCCAAGCTTCCTCCCATCAGAGTACTCCTCACAGTGGATCTCAATCACAACTATCATGTACAACAACTGGACATTACCAACACCCTTCTCCATGACAATCTTACTGAAAATGTGTACATGGCACAACCCAAAGGCTTCGAAGACTCATCCCATCCAGATCATGTTTGTCTCCTACACAAGGCCATATATGGACTCAAATAAGAGCCACAACAATGGTAGACCACGTTCACTACATACCTTACATCCCTTGGTTTCCAACATAGCAAATTTGATCCTTCTCTTCTCATCCTCACCCAAAACCAAACT